TCTAAGCAGTGCCAGGACAATGCCCCCAGCCCGATCTCAGCTGGGGTCTATGCAGCTCGGGACACAATGGGCAGCAGGGCGGGGATCTTGGTCACACCCTGCATTCCTCACAGTGTGCTTGTCGGAAGGCAAATAATGACTGAGTGGCAGAACAGGCCGGGCCAGCGCGGTGGGGGCTGGGACCATCCATGAGTCACTAAGGAGGCGGCGGGACAGGGCTGGGCTCCAGTCCATCCCTTGACTCCGTCGGCCTGACACGCCCTGTCCTCTCCCCGGCAGGAGAACTGCACCAACGAGGAGATCCTCAACAGCCTGAAGTACGTGCGCCCTGGGGCCGGCTTCGAGCCCAACTTCACCCTCTTCCAGAAATGCCAGGTGAACGGGCAGGACGTGCACCCCGTCTTCGCCTACCTGAAGGCCCACCTGCCCACCCCGGCCGACGAGCCCTCCGCCTTCATGGGTGACCCCAAGTTCGTCGTGTGGAGCCCGCTGCGCCGTGACGACCTCTCCTGGAACTTCGAGAAGTTCCTGGTGGGGCCCGAGGGGGAGCCCTTCAAACGCTACAGCCCCAAGTTCCAGACCATTGCCATCGAGCCCGACATCCAGCGCCTCCTCAAGCTAGCCAAATAGGGGGGCAGTAATGGGAGTCCAGCGGCAGCACCCCCTGCTGGAGGGGCGCGCTGCCCATCGGCACAGTGGCCACTCCCTAAGTCTCAGCCCGCTGCAGCCGGCGTCAGCGCTTTACCGGGTGACGGCCCCCTTCTAAACCACATGGGGAGGGGGCCTGAAGGGGGTAAAGGCACCGAACGCTCGGCCCGCGGCACTGGGCACCGTCCAATAAACAAGCCTGAAGGGAGCTGGGTCTCTGCGTATTTTCTACCCCTGCTCCCTGTTGCAAAGCCTGGCACAAGAACAACAGTGTCAACTGCCTCCCCCTGGCCCGAGCAGGGAGGCCCAGCCTTCCCGGGTGACGCGCGGAGACAGCAAGGGCACTTCGGCCCTGGGTCTTGTCCCAGCCTCCACCGTGATGGCTGAGGGACCTGAGCCCTCGCTGCTGTGGAGGTAGCGGATGTACGTGTGTGGGGGGACTGAGTGCCCATGGGGGCTGTATTGGAGGGAGCCCGGCACAGAGTGGTGGGTGCCCAGGGCAGTGAGCTGGGCACAGGGCTGCCCATCACCGAGGCTAGCAGGGAGTGAGTGTCAATATTCCTCCTGCCTAAAAGGGCCTCGCCCATTAAAATGGCTGAGAGGACACGTGCCCCTCGTGGCAAAGCAGGTTCACAGCTCTTTGTGAGCAGGGGCCCAGAGACGGCAAAGACCGCAGGGTGCTGCACAACCCACCCCTCTGCAATGGGGGCCATGCCCCGTAGCAACCCGCCCCTTTGCCATGCCCCGGGAGCAGCCCGCCCCTCTGCCATGCCCTGGGGGCCGTGTCCCATGGCAAACCCAACTCCTGTGTGCTGCTCTGGGAACAGCCCCAGCTGCAGGGGATGGTGCGGGGTCCCCGACAGCAAACCCAGCCCCTCTGCAAAGCATCAGGCTGGGCGGGGGCGCTGTGCCCCAATCCAGGAAGCCCCCTGACAAGTGGCTTGGGAAGTGTGTGGGGGGGGGGGGTCTGCCCTGCTGCCTCCTACTGTTTCCTGGCCTCCTTGGAAAGCACTGCAGCAATGACCTCTGTGGGGGGAAGTCTGTCTGCCTTCTCCCCTCACCCCCACTGGAAGGGACCAGGAAGTTACCTCCTCCCATGGGCTCTTCATTCCTCTGCCAGTCTCGACAGCTGAGGACCTGCCTTCCAGGAGCATCAGGAGCAGCTGCTTTCCAGGCCACAAGCCCTCACAGGGGGGCATCAGTCCTGGAGCTGCCCTGTCACCCACGGGGCCCATTTGGCCTTCTCAGGGATGGGGGGAACTGCCCGTGTCCGAATGAGCCTATTGCCGGGCCCCCTTCGCCCGCCCCAGCCCAGGGATTCGTTTCTTGCTCCACTCCCCAGGTCAATGCAGAATTACAGCCCCAGCCCTGCTGTGTGTGCAGAGCCTCAAAAAACACGCCCCGAGTGGGACTGATGCTGCCTGAGGCTGCAGAGAGCCTGAGCCCATTGCTGGGAGGGAGCTGCCCCAGATGTGACCACACAGCAACGCCACAGAGAGCCTGAGGCGCAGATTCCCTGCCCAAATCAGGGGCCTGGGTGGCTCCTGGCACCAGCTAAGGCAACTCAACTTGTGTCCCTGCTGCCACACCCCCCCCCCCCGCCCTGCCTCCAGCCACAGCCCAAAGCAGCCAAGGTGGCTCCATGCCTAGGATGGGAGTCATGAGAGCATCTCGCTGGGAGCTGTGGCATGGTCTAGTGGCTAGGGAACTGGGATAGCATTCAGGAGACCTGGGTTCTACCCCCAGCTCTGCTGCAGAGTGACAGCCCTGCTCAGTGCCTCAGTTTCCCCCCCCCCTTTGCCTTCAGCGTGAGCCCTTTGGGGAAAACAGCACCTCCCACTGTGTATGTGCAGCACCTAGCACAACAGGGGCCTCTGGGTGCTATCATAATAGTGACACCCCTAGGGGCAAGTCTGGCCAGGGCCCAGCCTCTGTTTCAGGAAAGGAGCTTGCAGCGGGGGAGTGAATTGTGCCGGTGGGCTCAGCAGCTACAAGTCTGCCTTCCCCCTGTCAGGGGGCACTAGCTGAGGGGAAGGCAGGCTTGTAGCTGCTGAGCCCACCTGCTCCCATGGGAAGAGGCTCTGTCCTGCAGGCAGAGGGGGCTGCTCTTCCTGCTGGCAGAAATCGGGGTTCCTGGGCAGCTCCCCAGATCAGCAACTGAGATTTTCCCAATGAGGTCAGGGGTTTTAACAACTTGCCTCCCATCACAGTGCTCCCGGGCAGCACGGCCTAGTGGTGAGAGCACCAGGCTGCAGCAGACCTGGGGTCAGTCATATTAAAGGTCAGACCTCACCTCCCCCAATCTGTCCCCCTGTGTAATAGAGACCCAAGCTCCCTGCAGCCAGCCCAGCCCAGCCAGAGTCCATTGCTCAGACATGCAACGCAGGCTGGCTTTACGGATGCCAAGGGCTGGAGAACTAGTTGCTCCAATAGTCAATTCCCCTTCCTCTTAAAATTCTGCCCTTTTTTCTAGTCTGAATGTCTGGCATCAGCTCCCGGCCCCTGGATCTTGCGCTGACGGCATCTGGTAGGCGACAGAGGCCTCCAGCAGAAATCTCCTCCCCAGGTAGCCACCTGGAGAAACTAGGCCACCCAGGCTCCTTCAGTCACTTGCAGTCAGGCAGGGCTGCAGCCCTCAGAGCCTCCTTGGTCTCTCTTCTGACCCCTCTCCAGGCGATCCCTGGCGCTGCTCCTGGGTGACCTTTGACAAGTCACTTTCCTGCTTGTCACCTCAGCTGTCCCAGCTGTAACGGGGTGTGTGTGTGCGTGTGTGTGATGCTTCTTGAGACTCCTCCGTACAGAGCCTGGAGGAAAAGCCCCAGCAAGGCGCTCCGTATTAAAGCCAAGCAAAAGCACCCAGTTGCACTGGCAGAGCGCATGCAGGGCCCTCCCATTGGGCAGCACAGAAACGCCTGGCCTTGGCTGCCCCTCAGGGTGCGGGGCCAGAGGCGACTCTGCACTGCCGTGCCTTCACTTCCTCTGCAGGGGTGCGGCATGGCTGTCACCACAGCGGCAGGGAGCCAGCTAGGTCTAATCCACATGGCTTCCTTTGGTGACACATCACCCACTTCACTGCCCCCCAGGCTGGAACAGGTATGGGCACTTCCCTCAGCACAGCCCCTTTTCCTCTGCCAGGGGGCACAGGAAACAGCCCAGCAAGCCCCGCGCCATCCTGTCATGAACGACTGCCCCGTGCAAACCCTCCCAGGAATTCCACTCAGTCTAGCCCGGAACCTGGCCTAGGAGCAAACCTCTGGGGCTTCGTGGGAAGCGATCCGGATTCTGCACCAGGCCGCTGGTCTCCCAGCAGATGTTTCCATAGCACCCCGGGTTGGCAAGGCTACAGCCAGCAAACATTGCAATCGACAGGCTCCGCTCTTTGCCCCACCGGTGAGTGTGACAATAGGCAGCAGAAGGGCTGACTCACCAGAGGGCCCCACCAGAGCGGAGGAGCGGGTTATAAAGGACAGCAGGTCTCTGCTGGGATGAGCCTGGAGAAATCCCCACTCCCCAAGGGCTGGGCGTTCCGTGAGCCTGGAGCAGCACCAGCCATGATCGGGGCCCCACCTTGCTAGACGCGGGACAGACAGCTAGGAAGACACCACTGCTGCCCCAGAGCACTCCCAGTTTATTGCCCACCTGTGCACACGAACAACTTGTCTGCTGTGCTCTTCTCCTGAAGGGGAACACCACACTGCAGCCAGTCACCCCCGGGAGGGCCAGCAGCATGGGATGCCCCTCGGCAAAGGCTGGCCAGGCGATCTGGAGCCACTTTCCCCTTCCATTCAGAGGGAGACTACAGGTCCTAGGCAACAAGTCTTGCTTGTTAGCTCAAGCAGCCTGGCCACAGCAAGTTTCCTGATACGGCTCTAACCTGGGCCCGGTTTGCATGGTCCTGGACCACGGCGTGGGGGAGGAATCCGAGTGACTGCGGAACAGCTGAGACAGGGACAGCTGGGTGGAGAGCAGGTGTACCAGCCTCCAGACTCCTTTGGGGGGCACGCTAGGGTGCACCTCGGGGGGCTCTGCTACTATATCAGCCAGCTCTAATTTCATTACAAACTATAGATCCACGCAGTGCCCCTGCGCACCGGCTGTAAAATTACCTTCCAGGGGGTGGGGGCAGGGATCCCAGACCAGGCACCGTGGACAGGACAGCAGCTGTTACCTTGGTTTGTGCCAAGGACCGTCCCACTCCCTCCCCCTCAGCATGCTCCCCACCACAGTACCAGTTCTCCAGGCAGCCTGGCTTACACCTCCCTCCCTGCTCATTCCTCCAGGCGGGGGCCGGGGTCCTGAGCCTCTCTGATGCCTGGGGAGGAGCGGTGTGCCGGACCGTGGGGCGACTCACGTTCACAACAGAGGGCACGTGTTTAATGACTGTAACCCGCCATCGCTTTGCCAACAGCCTGGCGAGGCTGGATGCAAACCCATGGCGGCAGCTTCAGAACAAGGGGGCCGCCTGGCGAGGGTCATCGGGCAGGATGCTGATGGAGTCCTCGGCCCTGCCACACAGCAGGCACAGCATGGTGTACTCCTGCAACAAGACAGAGGGCGCTCACGCGGGGGCAAGGGGGCGCTCGCTTCCATATGCAGGGCTGGGAATCCAGGCTGCGACACTCCGTTGTCCCGGGGGTGGGCGTGAGATGGGGTATGCACCTACACCCTGGCCAAGATTCAGGCCTGGAGGGAGGAGCTAAAAGGGGGAGAGCCCAGCTCTGGGGGCGGGGAAAGCAGATCTCCAGCTCTCACCGAGTGCAGGTCAGGGCCTCCCTGCGGGAAGGGGGGCTGGGTCTGAAGCTGGGAGCCCAGGCAAGTGTTAACGAGAAAAGGGACCCTGAGTAGAATGGGGGTCCAGCCCCAGCTGACCCTCCTTTCTGAGTTCCTTGTATTTGTTTTGTAACTTGGCTACCTCTGCAGGGGAAGAGCTTTGATGGAGGGCTGAGCAGCCATGGCACCAGACCATGCTGGAGATGGCTGCTGACCAGTGAAGACCTGGAGGGAAACTGAGCCCAGATGAGCAATGCCACAGTAGGCCACAAGGGGGCGCAGATGCCAACACTGCCACATGGTGACACAGCGTTCAGTCCCTTCCAATGCGGCACAGCAGGGCGCCTAACCGAGAGTCATGCCGGAAAGGGACTCATGCAGGCTGGCCTGAGAGATCAAGGAAAGTCCTGTGCCCAGACTGGCCTGCAGAGAGCATAGCTGTGGCAGTAGGAAACCTGCCTCCCCACTATCACTCAGCTTTGCTGTGCACAAGAGCCAGAAAGACGGACTGGGCTCCTGGCCCTGAGTGAGTGCAAGCTCTGAAAGACCTTACTGGCGACCAGACCCTTCAGGGCCCTCTGGTTTCTCCCCAGGGCTCCCACACACAGACATTGGGACTGCCCAGCGCTGACCAGGGCCGATATCAGACGAAAGCTCCTAAGATGGACCAGCAGCCCAGCCTCTCAGAAAGCGGAGCAGGGATCAGCTTTAGAGAGGCCTCCAGGTACCCCACAGCATTGCATCAGGGCCTGGCAGTGCAAGGGCTGCAGCTAGCAGCAGCCTCCAGGGAGCGGCCACTGAAACCACGCCCCTCCAAGCCCGCTAGCTCCCTCTGGAGGTTACAAAGGGCAAATGGCACCCACAATGGGAGCACACTCCAGCAACTGCAGGTTTGGAACAGAAATGCACTGAACTTCAGCTTGCGGAGGCATCGGTTCAGGAACCTCAGACCCAGAGCGGCCCCATCAGCCTTCCCCTGCTCTGCCCCCTGAGCGGGCAGCCTGAAGGGACGGCTAACGCATGCCTGCATCTCAGAGCGTCTCGGAATGGTCCCGCAGCCCCGGTTGGTGGACTGTGCCCAACGCCTGTCTTCCATGCCAATCCATCGTGAAACTCTGTAATATGGCTCCCCTTGTTGCTCCGAAGCCCTGCTGACTGTCCAGGTGCGAGCCAGGGTCTGCCCGCGAAGCCCCCGCTTCCACTACCACCTCCTCCCCATCTGCTTCCACCGGCCTTGTCATCTCACCTACTGCTCTGCAGGCAGGTCTAATAAAACCCGCTGCCGAGGTAGAGGGAGAACACAACTAGCGAGGACAGGGGTCAGGCCACACCCATCCTGCCAGAGGCTCGGGGGTCTGGCTCTGCCTCCTAGGCTGGACTGGGGCTGCAGACCCCTGCGGACCTTCCCGTGCAGAAGAAATTAACAGCGGTGGTTCTTCCAGCAATTGTCCCATGGCCTTGCTGTGTGTCTGCTTTCAAACACCGATTCATCAGGGTCCTGCGCACCCTCAGTTCTGCAGCGCTTCATGCGGGGTGGAAGGTACTCAGCCCTGCACCCCATGGCATCGGGTCCTAAAGCACTCAGGCTGGAATTCTCTATGGAGCCTAAGGGAGTTAGGACCCCAAGTCCTATTAAAAGTCAATGTCATTTAAGTGCTTTTGAAAACTGCAAACCCCCTCCCTAATCCCACTGACTTGCAATGAAATGTGTATTCCTAAGTTGAGGTGCTTTTCAAAATGCCAACTGAAAGCTAGGGCTGTAGGCACTCATGCTAAATCATGGGTTCTCAAACTGGGGGTCCGGATCCGTCAGGGGGCCGTGAGGTTATTACATGGGGGGGGGGGGGTTACGAGCTGTCAGCCTCCACCCCTAAACTCCGTTTCTCCTCCAGCATTAATAATAGTGTTAATTACAAAAAATGTGTTTGTAATGTATAAGGGGGGGGTCGCACTCAGAGGCTTGCTGTGTGAAAGGGGTCACCAATGCAAAGGTTTGAGAATCACTGTGCTAAATGCTACATCCATGCACGGGAGCCAGGCTCCATTTGAGCATACAGAATCTCAACCCTCGCATTGCATGGATGTCCCCTTGCCTGATCCGACGGTGCCAGATTAGCCCAAAGTGTCGGGAGCTGGAGAGATGCTAATCAGCGGCATGCACCCATCACCTAACTTGGGCACCATGCCCAGCGGGTGGAAATGCAGCTGTGGCAGCTTGGAATCCACAGCTGGAAAGTCAAGCCATATTTTACAGTGAAGCTGGCCCTACAAAAGCACAGCAGGTTGGGCAGTGACTTGAATCCCTCCCCTAGCTTCCTAGCTGAAGCAGCACGTGGGCTGCACAGGGCACAAGCTCACATGTACCGTAGCAACAGTAGCCTGCAGAACCCTACAAACCAAGAGCACCTCCAGATGGAAACCCACAAAGCGGAACTGTCTGCTCCGGCTGCTGCGATCCTGGGGTTCCTTGTGCTTCTGTGACATCACTCCCAGGGCTTTCCAGATCTCGGGGCGTTCGTTTGAGGGAATAAAGGTGTGCGTATTTTTGATCTGTGTACATGCGTGTGTGATGAAGTGGGAATTTTCAGTGACTTTTTATGCCCCCTGTGTGTGCCTCGGTTTCCCCTATATCTTGCATGGCAATGCAGTAGGGAAACAGGACTGTTTGCTCTCAGGGCAGGTTAAGAGACAGAAGCATGAATGGCATTTAGCCATCTGAGCCTGAATGGGTCGTTAAAAATGTCTGGCTGAGGCTCACTCCATATCAGTGAAGAATCCAAGAGGACAATGGGACACGGACACTTAGCAACCTGCGCCCCAGAGGAGGATGGATTCTCCCACCTCTCAGCAGGGAGGCTGAGCAAACCCTCCAGCTGGAGAACAAAAGATCAGGAAGGCGGGAGGTGGGGTTAGGAGTTGGCTGTGGGAAGGGGTTGGGGCTCTCACCTGGGAACAGACCACGGAGGTCAGACTGAGACAGAGCCTGAAAGGGGTTCACCATAGCTTGGCTGGGCTCTGGGCTGAGCAGGATGGACTTGGGCCATGCTTTACCCTTCGTTTCTCTGTGCTCACCTACGGCCCTCCTGTGCTGTGTAACAGCTGACAACTGAACCCGGCTGTTTGGACAACACTGAGTGTCACCGCAAATACTGCTGAGGTGCATGGTCCCTGAAGAGGGGACAAGTCTCTCCCAGGGCTCTGGCTCAGCTTGACTCACTGGGCAGAGCTCAGGGGGTGAAGCAGGAGGGCTGGAGCTGCAAAGGTGGCGGTGAAGCCAACTGGCCCACCCTGAAGAAAGAGTGAGACCCCCTTGGGGGTCCAGCACGCTGAAGGGCTGGTTCCAAAGCTGGGGGCGTAGCACTGATCCTGGGACTCCATGACAGTGTGTAAGACAACATACCTGGTAATCGTCCACCACGCTGAATGTATATTCGTGCCTGGCTATCATGTGATGACAATTCTTACACACATCTGGAACGAAAACCAGAGATTCACAAGGATCGCCTGCTTGGAGGGAGACCTCACTTACCACAACCTGGGGGCAGGGAAAGTCTTATTTCTTTTGACTGAAAATTGCACTGATCTGAGATCAAGGACCTGCTATCCTGGGTCAGTGACAAAAAGCCCTCCTGGTCCAAGAGGGCAGCGGTCATCTTAGAGGCAAAGCCAAATATCTTTGGATCCCCCCGGCTAGATCCACCCCAGTTTTCTAATACATTTGTGAATTTACCAAAGCAATAAAAAACTTGTATTTTGTAGCTCCACAAATGCCTGGAGAAATTGTTTTACTACATAAGGTTTCACCTTCATTGTACGGGCCAGGCCCATTTTTAGCTGGGAGCAGGGCAAATAGTTCAAAAGTAGTCAATTTTTCTAACCACCGGAGCCTGGATGCTGAACAGAAAAGGAGACCTTTCACTCCTTGATATTCCCCAAAGCAGCACGCTCATTGGGTCACCTACACCAAAACCTGTAATCACTGGGGAAATGCACTGTATAAACTCAGGGGACTAATGGAAACATGCCACCTTTAACCATTCCCAACTCATCTCCTGTGCCATCCTACAAAGCACATTTATTTAATCTATGCAAGCTTGAGCGCAACTATGGCTCTGACGCTGCAATTAGCTGGAGAACCACTAAAGTCATTAACTTGGCCATTCAAATCCTGCAGAAATTGCTTCCAGCTTGTGGCTATTTGTAGGCCTCTGTGAAATGAGTTGAGGGGCATAAGCTAAGCTCCCACCTTGCAAAACCCATTTGCACTTCAGTCTCAGCAGGGAGGCCAAGGCACTGAATGGGCGAGGGCAAATGACTCTCTTAGTCCTGCAGATGGTTCCCTGGTGGTCGGGGTCCAGGCAGGGGATGAGAGAGAAGTCAGGATTGCCACTGGATTTTAGAATCCAGAGGGAGGTCAATATAGGGCCTTCCACAAGCACCAATGCAGATGGAATTGTCCATTCACTCCAAACAGTGTAAATGTAACATACACTAATAAATGCCAAACTGAGAACCCTTTCCTGCATTTTTTAAAGAGACACAGTGATACTGACAACCAAAAACAACCCCATTCTCTCTCTTCACATCCCTTCAGTTCTCTTTCCTCACATTTTACCTGGCTTAAAAAAAAATCAACACACACGAGGCAAGCAGGAGGTTTACTTTGGTGATTAGGGAGAGCTAAGCTATCAATTGCTGGAGAATTTAGGCTCTAAAAACAAAACATTAACCTGGCATGGTTGCAAAATGTGAACAGATACAGAGCTCCTTCCCTGAGTTTGCCCCTCAGTTGGCAGTAGACTGACATTCACAAGACTCTGGTCAGTTTCACGGCAGCTGTTCACAACCCTGTGAGTATCAGTGAAGCTGATCACAGAATCACATCAATTTCAGGTAGAGGCTTCTTGGGGGCAGTGGGCAGCAGCAGAGGCAGACACTGGAGCTAATCACAGGTGAGGATGACACACAAACGGAGGCAGGGGAGAGATTCTGGAGTCTCAGCAGCAGTGCAGCAGGGAGGTTGGGGGGTGATGGGGGAGCGTAGAGTAGCAGAGTCTCCTCCAGCACTGGAGTGGGGAGGGGAGCTCCAGCCTCAGGCCTGGATTCTGAGAACAGTTAAGCACATGCTGACCTGGCTGTAGCCAGATCACACAGGTTTTGTGCTGCTGTAACTATGCTGGCTAGGGGATGTGATTTTTTTTTTTTAACCAACATAGTTATACTGATACAACCCCTCATGTTGACAGTTATACCAGAATAGATCCTTCCCCTTCCTGTAGAGACATGGTACACTGGTATAAACACCTTTGTATCTGTATATCTGCATCCACACTAGGGGGTTTTGCCCTTATTCATAGATTCCTAGCTTAAGGCCAGGTGGGACCATTAGATCATCTTATCGGACCTTCTGTATAGCCCAGGACAGAGAATTTCACTCAGTTCTCTCTGGACTGAGCCCAGTAAATTGCGTTTGGCTAAAGCAGATCTTCCAGAAAGGCCTCCAGCCTGGATCTGAAGCCTTTAAGAGGGAGCAGCCACCCCTTGGAAGTTTATTCCAATGGCTCCTCTGTTGGTCATGGTTAGAAATGTGGGCGTTATTGGTAATTTTGAATTTGTCTTTAACCCCCAGCAACTGGCATAGGAACCCCACTGGGATAATTTAAGCCGTACAACTTTTGACAAGGCCTTAGACACTTTCCAGCCAGGGACTTAAGTGAAAGTGGAGCCCACGAGGAAGGTCACAGGATAGCAGCAAAGTAGAAATTTCAGCAACTTTCTCCTTCCCCGCAGCTGGGGACCTGGGTCACTGACTTAGATTTCTTTAGGGAGCCCCAGACAGCTCTCCTACTACCCTCTGGCCAAGAGAGGTCTGGTAACTTTTTCAAATCAAGTGCTAAACTTTCTCTCTCCCCACAATAGGCATAATAATAAAAAAACATGACACCTCACCCCTCTGCAGCTCAGGTTCCTAAAGCCTGTGGCTGTGCGCACACTCAATTGATGAGACAAACAAGGGGACCTCCTTACGGTCATAAGTGATGATTTCTTCTCCATCCTCCTCCTCCGTTGCTCTGTTTGCAATCAGCACAAAGTCCCTCTTGTTGCACTCCACACACCCCACGTAGTTGAGCAGGAAAGATCCGTTCTCCAGGCAGGTGTTCCCCTACAAAATTGAGAGGAAAATTATCCACCTCCGTTTCTATGTTATTGCCAAACACCCACCCCTCCCGCTTCAATTTGTCCCAACATTGTATTTATTGACAGCACACGCAAGGGTTAGGGAAGTGGTCCCCAAACTGTAGGGCGTGCCCCCCTGCTCCAGAAAGTAGACTTACAAGTATGCGGGAGTTTGGGGGGCAAATTGACACAACAGAGTTTCCCTGCAGGCCCCTGAGCAGGAACAAAGGGAAGGGTGACAATACTGCAATCTTAGCAAAATTTGGTACTCTGGAGGCAATGACCTGGGACCAGCCAGCTTGTGTAAAAGTGAATGGTTTACTTTTTTTTTTAATGTACCTAAAAAAAGTGTTTTTTGGGGGAAAAAAGGTGTTGCAGTGATCCCAGCAGGAGAGAGTGTTCAGAGCCAAGAGCAGGAAGGCATCAACTGAGCAAGAAAGCCATCGGTACTTCAGAATGCCCCCGTAACATGGAGCCATCTCTATGGTGTTCTTTTTGTGGACACAGACTAACACGGCTGCTACTCTGAAACCTGTCATCACACCAGGGGGTCTTGGAGCCACCATGTCCAACAAATCACATATACACAAACGTTCCTGGCAGGCAAATACTGCTGGCTGATTCTGCTTCCCTTCCCTGACTGGCACAGGGATCTCGCTCTGATGGGAACTGCTTTAGAGTCTGTGCCCAGTACTAGATTGGTAGATTCAATGAGCCTGGAATAACTGAGGGGAGTGAGGAGAGGTAAGAACACAGAGGTAAACAAAAACATACGAAATGTCATCCCAGAGTCAGCGGGGAATCTAGTCCAGTAACACACAGTTCAGAGACAACTGCAAGGAAGCCAGCAGTAGCCAATTCGGGAATAACCTTCCCCTGAGTGGAGTTTCATGATAACCCAGTCAGTTAGTGACCGACTTATGCCTTGAAACATGAGGGCTTATATCCCTCATGGGCAGGTCATGTCAATCTCTGTGCCTCAGTTTCCCCAACTGTAAAATTGGGGTAATGATACTGACCTGCTTTGAGATCTATGGCTGGAAAGCACTATGCAACATAGGAACTAGTTAGTCTTACTGTTGTTATGCCCTTTAAAAAAAGTCAGTGTACAGGAGAACTTCAGAGTTACAAACACCTCAGGAAGGGAGGCTGTTCGTAACTCTGAAATGTTCGTAACCCTGAACAAAACATTAGGACTGTTTTTTCAAAAGTTGACAAGTGATCACGGACTTAATACAACTTTGAATCCTTCCTATGCAGAAGAAAAATGCTGCTTTCCCTTTATATTTTTAGTTGTTTACATTGAACACAGTACTGCTTTCTCTTGGTCTCTGCTGCTGCCTGATTGCATACTTCTGGCTCCAAATGACATGCACGGTTGACTGGTCAGTCCGGAACGCTGAGGTTCTACTGTTACTGTGTATGAGCTCCTTATCAATGTGCCTAGTTCTTTGAATTCCTCTAAGCTCTTGATCTCAGCAACACTTTGTGGCAATGAGTTCCACAGGTTTCGATAAAGCATAATTATTTCCTTTTATAATTTTAAATGTATTGTATTTCAACTCCATTGGTTGTTCCTTTGTTCTTGTAAAAAGAAAAGGAGGACTTGTGGCACCTTAGAGACTAACAAATTTATTTGAGCATAAGCTTTCGTGAGCTTATGCATCTGATGAAGTGAGCTGTAGCTCACGAAAGCTTATGCTCAAATAAATTTGTTAGTCTCTAAGGTGCCACAAGTCCTCCTTTTCTTTTTGCGAATACAGACTAACACGGCTGCTACTCTGAAACCTTTGTTCTTGTGTTACTACAAAGAAGAGCCTGACTTGCCTTCTCATCATTAATATTTTTGGATATCTCTAGAGAGGAGTTAAATAAAAGGGAACACAATAAACTGTCCCATCTTTTCAGTCTCTTCTCACAGAGCAGTCTTTCTATGCCCCCATTGTTTTTGTTACCATCTCAGTACCCTGTTCTTTCTGCTCTATCTTTTTCAAGGTAACACTATCTCAGAGGCAGGGGCATGGCTGGTTTATGTAACAGCACTGCATTGTCTGCAGTATTATTTCCTATCTCTTAGGCAGCTTCACGTTGCCTTTTCCCCATGCTATGCACTCTTAAAACCCAGCAGGGAGCAGGACTACCCCCTGGGCTGCACACAGGATGCATCCAGAGGTGCTGGAACTAGGGGTGCGGGGGCTGCTGCCGCACCCCCTGGCTTGAAGTGGTTTCCATCACATACAGGGCTTACAATTCGGTTCAATGGCTCTCAGCATCCCCACAATACAAATTTTTCCAGAAGCACCCCTGGGTGCCAAAGATACCCAGGGCAGCCTCTAGCCCACCCTGGCCTGAGGATAGACACTGCTGTGGCAGAAGGTCAGGAGGTGCGGGGGGGGGGGAAGAGGAGCGCACTTTACAGAGGGAGATGGGCATGATTCACCCTAGGTATCAAGTCAGAAACAGAACCCAGGAGTCCGGCCTCCAAGCCCAGCTCCAGCCCACCAGACCCCACCCCCGGACCAGAGCTGGGGAGAGAACCCAGGAGTCCGGGCTCCCAGCCCAGCTCCAGCCCACCAGACCCCACCCCCGGACCAGAGCTGGGGAGAGAACCCAGGAGTCCGGGCTCCCAGCCCAGCTCCAGCCCACCAGACCCCAGCCCGCGCCCAGAGCTGGGGAGAGAACCCAGGAGTCCGGGCTCCCAGCCCAGCTCCAGCCCACCAGACCCCAGCCCGCGCCCAGAGCTGGGGAGAGAACCCAGGAGTCCGGGCTCCCAGCCCCCGCTCAGGGAACCGGGGCGAGGGGGGAGACAAGCCCCGGCCCCGCTCACCCGGGACGGGTACTCGGTCTCCACGCAGCCCCCGCACATGACGCCGCCGCCGCCACTTCCGGCTTCCGGGAGCATCGCGTCTCGCGAGAGCTGCCAGCCCTGGGAGGGTTTAGGGGCGGGGCCGGGGAGGAGCCGTGGGGCTGGGTGGGCGTGGCCTGAGGGGGTGGGCGTGGCCCGAAGGGTCGGAGCTGGGCTCTGCGGAGTCAGTCAGGGCCGAGGGTGGGGTCTGAGGAGAGCAGGGTGGGGTCTGGAGGAGTGGGGCGTTGCCTATGGATGAGGGGGCGTGGCCTATGGCAGTGGGGCGTGGCCTGCAGGGTCAGGGTGCGGGGTCTGTTGGGAATGGGGCGTGGCCTGTGGGCAGTGGGGTGTGGCCTGTGGGGCCAGGCCAGGGTGGTGCAAGGGGAGAGTGGCTTCAGGCAGGTGGGTGGGGTAGCTAGGCTGAAGCAGGGCTTTCAGGTGTGTGTCTCTGTGCGTGTTTAACATGTGCGGAGAGCTGCCGCAGGAGGGGCTCTGCCCCGCCAGCACCAGTGACCCATAACCCCTTCCCTGCCCCGATCCCTGTTTTTGTTTTTTTAACAGCCGCCCCAGCTCCTCTTCCAGTAGAAGTCTCAGCAGCAAAGGCGTGGCAAGCCCGCTCCCCTAGAGTCAGAGGACTGGGAAAGGTTTCAGAGTGGTAGCCATGTTAGTCTGTATCAGCAAAAAGAACGAGGAGGACTTGTGGCACCTTAGAGACTAATAAATTTATTTGAGCATAAGCTTTCATGGGCTAAAACCCACTTCATCGGATGCATGCAGTGGAAAATACAGTAGGAAGATATATATACACAGAGAACATGAAACAATGGGTGTTGCCATACCCACTATAACGAGAGTGATCAGTTAAGGTGAGCTATTGTCAGCAGGAGGGAAAAAAACCAAAAACCCTTTTGTAGTGATAATCAGGATGGCTCATTTCCAACAGTTGGTAAGAAGGGTTGAGTAACAGTAGGGGGGAAAATAAACATGGGGAAATAGTTTTACTTTGTGTAATGACCCATCCACTCTCAGTCTTTATTCAACCCTAAATTAATTGTATCCATATTGCAAATTAATTCCAATTCAGCAGTCTCTCATTGGAGTCTGTTTTTGAAGTTTTTTTTGTTGTAGTCTTGCGACTTTTAGGTCTGTAATCGAGTGACCAGGGAGATTGAAGTGTTCTCCAACTGGTTTTTGAATGTTATCATCCTTGACGTCTGATTTGTGTCCATTTATTCTTTTACGTAGAGATTGTCCAATTTGGCCAATGTACATGGCAGAGGGGCATTGCTGGCACATGATGGCATATATCACATTGGTAGATGTGCAGGTGAACGAGCCTCTGATAGTGTGGCTGATGTGATTAGGTCCTATGACGGTGTCCCCTGAATAGATATGTGGACAGAGTTGGTAATGGGCTTTGTTGCAAGGATAGGTTCCTGGGTTAGTGTTTTTGTTGTGTGATGTGTGGTTGCTGGTGAGTATTTGCTTCAGGTTGCAGGGCTGTTTGTAAGCAAGGACTGGCCTGTCTCCCAATATCTGTGAGAGTGAGGGATCATCCTTCAGGATAGGTTGTAGATCCTTGATGATGCGCTGGAGAGGTTTTAGCTGGGGGTTGAAGGTGACGGCTAGTGGCTTTCTGTTACTTTCTTTGTTGGGCCTGTCCTGTATTAGGTGACTTCTGGGTACTCTTCTGGCTCTGTCAATCTGTTTCTTCACTTCAGCAGGTGGGTATTATAGTTGTAAGAACACTTGATAGAGATCTTGTAGGGGTTTATCTCTGTCTGAGGGGTTGGAGCAAATGCGGTTGTATCTTAGAGCTTGGCTGTAGGCAATGGATCATGTGGTGTGGTCTGGATGAAAGCTGGAGGCATGTAAGTAAGTATAGCAGTCAGTAGGTTTCCGGTATAGGGTGGTGTTTATGTGACCATCACTTATTAGCACCATAGTGTCCAGGATGTGGATTTCTTGTGTGGACTGGTCCATGCTGAGGTTAATGGTGGGATGGAAATTGTTGAAATCGTGGTGGAATTCCTCAAGGGCTTCTTTTCCATGGGTCCAGATGATGAAGATGTCATCAATGTAGCACAAGTAGAGTAGGGGCATTAGGGGACGAGAGCTGAGGAAGCATTGTTCTAAGTCAGCCATAAAAATGTTGGCATACTGTGGGGCCACGCGGGTACCCATAGCAGTGCCGCTGATTTGAAGGTATACATTGTCCCCAAATGTGAAATAGTTATGGGTGAGGACAAAGTCACAAAGTTCAGCCACCAGGTTTGCCATGACATTATCGAGGATACTGTTCCTGACGGCTTGTAGTCCATCTTTGTGTGAAATGTTGGTGTAGAGGGCTTCTACATCTATGTAGAAGAATAAATGGACACAAACCAGACATCAAGAATTATAACATTCAAAAACCAGTCGGAGAACACTTCAATCTCCCTGGTCACTCAATTACAGACCTAAAAGTCGCAAGACTACAACAAAAAAAACTTCAAAAACAGACTCCAACGAGAAACTGCTGAATTGGAATTAATTTGCAAACCGGACACCATTAAATTAGGCTTGAATAAAGACTGGGAGTGGATGGGTCATTACACAAAGTAAAACTATTTCCCCATGCTTATTTTTCCCCCTACTGTTACTCAACCCTTCTTGTCAACTGTTGGAAATGAGCCATCCTGATTATCGCTACAAAAGGTTTACTGTTTTTTTTTCTCCTGCTGATAATAGCTTACCTTTTACCTGATCCCTCTCGTTACAGTGGGTACGGCAACACCCATTGTTTCATGTTCTCTGTGTATACATATCTTCCTACTGTATTTTCCACTGCATGCATCCGATGAAGTGGGTTTTAGCCCACGAAAGCTTATGCTCATATAAAATTATTAGTCTCTAAGGTGCCACAAGTACTCCTTGTTCTTTTCTCTTAGGACTGGGAAAGACAGGGCTCAGCCCACTCAAGACTAAAGGCCTGGCCTCTCAGCTAAAGGGCAGGAAACCACTAGACCGGGGTGGGCAAAATCCGGCCCCCAGGCCAAATCCAGCCCGCCTAACATTTCTGTCTGGCCCACCATGACTAAAATTTCTGTCTGGCCTCCTTTGCCCCGTCGCAATCTCCAAGTCCAAGCTGCTAAAAGTCCAGGTAGTGCCTGCCTACCGTGGCCCCACGTGCTTGCAGAAGTGGCCAGCTGCTCTTGGCACATCTCTGCATTCCCCTGTGTTCCCCTGCCCACCCCCAGCACCATCGTCACAGCTCCCATTGGCCAGAAAACCAGCCAATGGGAGCTGCAGAGGCAGTGCTTGCGGGTGCGGGCAGCGCACAGAGACCCACTGCCCCCCTTTCCTCAAGGGGCGTGCAGAGACGTGACAGCAGCAGCCAGCCGCAGCCACTTCTGGGAGTGGCGTGGGGCCACGGCGTGCAAGCAGCCTGCCTGAGCCCTGCTGCGCCATCAACCTGGAGCCACTGGTGGTAAGCGCCTCCCAGCCAGAGCCTGCACCTCGCACCCCCTCCCGCATCCCAAGCCTCTGCTGTAGGTCAGAGCCCCCTCCTGCACCCCAATCCCCTGCCCCAGACCGGAGCTCCCTCCTGCATCAAACTCCCTCCCAGAGCCCACACTCCTCATCCTCTCCTGTACCCCAACACTTTGAACCAGCCTGGAGCTCCCTCCCGCTCCCCCTCCATTAATATAGTAGAAATGTGTGGCCCATGACGACTTACCAAAATTCATGGAGTGGCTCTCCTATGAAAATTATTGCCCACCCCTGCACTAGACCCAGGCCTCAAATGAGGTTAATCATGAGGGAGCCAGAGGAGGAAACTGAGCAGAGAACCCCTGGCAGCACCCAGTGCCCCTCAAAGCCATGTGAGGAGCCAGTGGACATGGCCCAGAGGAACTCGGTCCAGAGATCTGATCGAAATCTGCCCTGTAATGCACTATGATATATGCTTCAAATCCCTATGGCAAGAAGAAAGCATTGTGCTCCTCTGTTTGCACAATCCATGTAACTCTGCACAGAAATGAGGGGTTCGTGATCCCTTTGGCTGCACATGCACCTCTCAGGTTGCAGTGTGGGCTGGGACAACTGACCATAATTAATCTCTGCACCAGTCCGTACAGCTGTCTCTTACGCCGTGAAGGGCACGCAGAGCAATGAGAGAATAAACGACTCATCAGATGGCACATTTACTTTGTCATTCCTCATGTCTGCTATTATAGCTAGGGCTTGTGATTTTGACCAAGAAACACTGATAAGACAGCCCAGACACCAAAAAAATGGAATTGGTGTTTAGCCTATAAATGTCAGAAAAACACCAAATGGCTACTCAATTTCACGCCTTCCCCACTGCACTTTGTTTCCATAGATAATGTCCTGCTCCCTGGTGTGTAGGATTTGTCTCCACGGACTTGTCTCCATGGAGCAGTAATGCGGACTACAGGGGTGTGATTTTTAAAGCACAAGGTGCTGTGCATTAGTTTCTGTGTGTAGATCCTGATGGTGTGCACTAAGGGTTCCCTAGTGCACATTAACGTAGGGCTGTTTGAAACAATACTGTGAAAACACACTAGGGAACGAAAGCAATGAATGCTAAACCAGGCGTTCGATAACAAGGATACAAAGCTTCAACTAACATGTTGGTTATTTTTATATATGGAATACAAATTGAAATACATCCTGTTTAGGCAAGAATTTTGGGACGGACCTGATAAATATTTTCTTGTTACAGAATCAAAGAGAAAGCTGCCCCCCCCCCAAAAAAAACCTCCCCATATATTTGGACATCTACACAGAACTCAGAACCTGCTGACCTTCCCCAAATGAAATGAATAAACCCCTCCAAAACAGAACCCCCAATTATGGCTAAATCACTTTTGCCAGCCTCAGGGGGCAGAGTTAAGCTTGTGGGACAGAGTTCTTGACCTCTCCACACACTAGTACCAGCTCCTGGCTGCAGCAAGATGTGATGACCAGTGCATGGTCAGTCAGGATGCCCTTTGATAGGGTTTCTAGGAAGACCATGGTGAAGTCAGTGGCATCCCTACCCTGTCATTACTGTCTCTGACAGTGTGTTTTTAGAAACATACAGGCGAGAATTTGATG